TATGATAAGTCTTAATCTAAAAGGGACTAAGCCTACCCCTCCTGCTAAAACTGACCACACCCTTCATCAAGAAAACTCTCAGAAAACATAATCCCCTACAAAATGACCACACCATCACACCAGAACTCATACTTTGAGAATTTAGCATACAACCGATGATCTTTAACATCTGCAAAAACCTCTCATAAATGCACATTATGCTTTTCCTCACTCCATGAGTATACCTAAATACCGTCAGTAAACACACTCACAAACCAGTCCAGGAGAGCCCGAAAACACCCGATTAATCAAGTCCATAACAGTGGCCAGAAAACCTTAACTACGTAACCACTGAGCCCCCAAGTATGATATAATGAAAGCTAAAGTCAATGAATAATCTCCTTGGTAAACACACACTACCTCTCTTGTCATCTCAAACATCACTAACTTATAATAACAATCTAAAGTGGCATAATACGATGCCAACCAATCTATACCGAAAATCACGCCAAACTCCAACATGGCCAGAAGGATCAAACTTGCACAAACTCCCTACCATCAACACTAATTAGGCAAGCCCTAAATACTCGTGTCACCCAAACAAACTCCCCAACTGGTGTTGCTACAGAAAATGGATACTCTAGAAGCTTTGGCTGTCCCCTAACCGATACCTGCTGTCTCCTTTCAACTCTAGGACGTCCACTATCATTCCAATCAATACGTCAGCCGGTACCGTCACACTTTTACCTGCAATTGACTCTCGACCTTGTCTAGCAATCCTCCCACGATCTCTCGCTCGTCCTCTCCCATCAATTAGAGGAAGGGTTGATCCACCCGCGAGATCTCTCAACACCCCAGCCTCAACAACCTCTTAAGAAACAGCGGCACATCGCTCAATGTCACAAGTACATTAATCAACGAGTCCGTCTATACAAAATACGAGGATTAGAACGATACCAAAGGAGTTGGGCATAAAGGAATTGAAAAACTAACACCAAGCACATCCTAAAAGGTTTTCAATAGTTCTTCCTTTATGTAAGTGGGGCCCTCACTCTTATAATAAAGGCACTACTAAAGAATCTTGCTGCTTTTACTCTCAGAAAAACCTATAGTTTGATACCACTCTATCACGGCCCAGACCTCGAGCCCATGACCGGCACTAGGGTCCACCGACCCCCGTTAGTCTCACAACACCAAACCAAACTAAAATGCTAATCTCAACAATAAAAGTATACCAACACAATATACCCAGTACATAACCATCAGGACTTATCTAAGAGTACAAAAAGAGCTACTCTAGAGTACAAAATAATAGATATATAAAAAGATATGCCCGTACATCAATCAAATCTATAGACAACCGCTTTGATTTTGGCACGCTACTCAAGGACAGTAACCCAAATCTGGAATGTTTGTAAAATGTGAGTCACGAAACTTAGTGAGTACAGATGATATCTAGGCAATGCATGTTAGGATATGTATCACATCTCAAATTCAAAATCATACATATACATACATATATAGTGAGCAGTAAAATTAAAACACGTATGCGAGGTTTCAACATAACCTATCATCACATCACAATATTGCACATCATGTCTACAGCCCCTGCCGCCTCACATAGGACTCAGGCCGACTCACCACTAGACGCTACGGGTCACCATACTCCAGTCGAGCTCCTTCTATCCCAAATCACATCACACAGAAACTCAGGTCGACTCACCACTAGACGCTACGAATCACCGTACTCCAGCTGAGCTCCTTCCATTCCCAAATCACATCACACAGGGACTCAGGCTGACTTACCACTGGACGTTACGGATCACTGTACTCCAACCGAGCTCCTTCCATTCCCAAATTGCATCACACAATACCATCCTCACATATGAGTCAAAAACAATTATACATACACATATACAGTTTACATCTTGAAAACCAATATCACATACTAACATAAACTCACTGACAGTTCACAAAACATATAACACATATTCCAAGTGTAACATATAACCAAAATACAGTTTACAAAACCACATAATCATCATGCCAGAAAACATAATATGAAAAATACATGTATAGGAAGGGTATCATCACTCACAGTACAAAAGCTAAGTCAATAAGAAAGTCCCGATCACCCTCACCAGACTCACTAATCTAAGTGTAGCTCAAGCACATCTATAACCAAAACCACACAAAATCACCACCATCACCAAAACTGACACAAGAAATAGTTCGATAGCCCAAAACCGGGCTCACATCTCATCCGGTACCCTGACACGCATCCTGAGGCACACTACCCATCACTAGGACCCACATGACTCGCAACACTCATCAATTTAACTCAACAACCCTCAAACAATAGAGAACCAGCTTCCAAAACCCTCGAACCATAGAAAATCGACCTCCAAAACCCCCAAACCAAGTTGAGCCATTCTAAAACTACCTCAAACTGAGCTGAACCGGCCATGAAACCCTCAAAATCGGATTCAGAAGGCCCAAAAATCTTAAGAACTAGTCTGAACTGGTCAAGAACCGCTCAAAACAATGCTTAACTGCCCACTAGAACCCTTGAACCGACTTGAACCGGGCCGGTTTTAACCAAAAACACCAAATTTTCGATCGAATCGGACCTCCCCGAACCCTCGGGCCCACTTGGTCCAACAGATCTTTTTTCCTTGAATCCAGAACCAATTCAACTCTCCAAATCCAAATCAAAAAGACCACTAAATCACCCGGTCAAACCAATGACTGGTTCAGTCAAACCCCTTTTTTTTTGTAATGGCTTGGCTCAGCTCGACTCGGCTCGGCTCGGCTCAACTCGCCGGCTTGGGCCACGGCTCAACAGATTAGCCTATCTGCTTGGGCCTAGCCCAAATGGGTCGGCCCAAGCCAAAACTTTCTTTTTTCTGGGCCTACCCGTAGGCCCCCACCCATATGGGCTAAGTCCGAGCCCAATGGCCCGAACCAACTGGGCCCAAACCAACCCAACAGGGGGAACCAAATCATCCAAGTCCTTTTGTCTCCACCCGAAACCCCAGACTTGATGCAAAAATTTGGGTCTGAACGAATCGGAAACGAAATTTTCACAAAACAACTCCAGATTCACACTCACCTGTTAGATCAATGACCAAAATTGGAAGATCCAAGCTAGGCGAACTAGATTGAAGCCTTTAATTAGAGAGAAAATGACCCAAACAGTCTAAAAATCCAACCCCAGTGATCCGCAAACCCCAATGGCCAAAAACTCAAAATTTTTCCCAAATCTCTCATTAGATTTCCAAAATTTCTTGAGGCAAAAGATGCGTGAATCCTCTCACATGCGGAAACCAGGTTTTTAACCCAAAATTCAGTTTAAATGATGGAGGAATGGGCTGCACAGTGTTCGGTCCATTGTTGGACCGAACCTATCAGACTTGTTTTCAATCCAACCCCCAGAACTCCCAATTTCTGCAAACAAGCCCTCCCAATTTGCAGATTGACCCTAGAAACTTTAATTGTCGATTAAACTCCTAATCAGAATTAATTAAATAAATTTTTGAATAAAATTAATTAGGGTCGTTACAAAAAAAGATATGCATTGACAAAAGTTCTTAGGCTTTTGATTTTTCAAAAATTGTTTCTACAATGAGGCCTATAATTAATTATATATTTTATGACATCTACTTCTTAACAAAGCAATTAGTTCAATTTGAATAATAAATGTAATATATATATATATATATATATACACGAAAAAATGATTTTATTTATGCTCTCTTCTTTTCTTTCTTTTCTTTGGGAGAGTTCAGGATACGTTCTTTATCTGATACTTTTTTTTTTTTAATTTGACTGTATGAAAACTGTAACCACTGAAAAAAAGAAAAAAAGTGGACAGGCACGGTACCATTCTTTTTCTGCAAGGTGCAAACCAAATTTAATTTCATGTTTGAAATGGGACCTGTCGGGCTTTCCCGGGCGGGGCATTGCCATACGCAGGCCCAACCGTGCGTAGATTGTTTATCGGTTGTTGGAATTGATTAATGAAATTTTACTTGGAAACATGTCAACATTATGTATTTAATCTCTTATTGCCAATTTTATTTAAAAATTAAATTTAAAATTTCTAATTAAATATATGTTATTATTTAGTAGATTAATATACAAATAAAGATACCGTCCTGGATAGTAGTTATTAAGAAATAAACTACATCCAACCCTACATCCACAAGCTAAACCATACTACATGCAGAACTAAAGTATTCCATACTCATAGAAAACATGTAAAAGTGATCAATTCCTTCTATATATATATATATATATATATATATATATATAGTACGTCGAAGATCCTTGTCCCAAAAAGGAAAAAACAAATAGGAGAGAACTATGCTCAAGGTCATGAGAAACGCTGACAGTAGGAAAAACATAGGCAAATTAGAATTCAAGGCCCAGCAATCAAAAACCATCAATAACATGTAGAAACTAGGATATCCTCAAAGCTAGTTAAAGTAGAAGGCACAATTGACTAATAATTGGATACAAAAACCATTAACATTTAGGAAAGCATAACACCGCAAAGGATTCTTCCAACAACATCCCAGCTTGCTTCACAGGTCTTGCACACTCAAACCTGCAAAGATACAGACAACATATTATTTTAAACCGTGAAGCTAGGAAAATCAAGTGATTCATACTTGGTTTTTTTTCTTTCTTTTGTAATTTCATTTTCAGCTTTCAGAATGCCCACACAATTATTTGATTTCTTTTTTTCCCCTCTTTAATCTTTGGAAAGTATAACAATAATTGGCGTGGGGAAGTTTGAACTCTCGTCAAAACCACTATCCTAATGAGGCTGGACAATTATTTGATTTCCAGCCACTGATGTGTTGAAACACTTAAATTTACATAAAACGTTGGTAAAATGGCACCCAATTTTGACCTAAAGTTTGACCCAAACCCACATAGGTTTCCTAATCCAAATATTCATAGATGCTTATGCTTTATTGACGTCACTATAATTGCATCAAACAAGGTTACACCTATCAAAACTGATCACAGTCAACTAGTCAAAAATTGTTAAATAAAACATAACACAAACGAAGGTACCTGGAGGAAGAGATTGCTTCAGCTTGTCGGCCTTCTCTGAGTCAAAGACACATAGTGTGTACAGGTACTTGGAACATCGAACCTTGAACTTCACAACATCTTTACTTCTCTTGATTTTCACAGAACGTGCATCTTTTCTTCTAGCAGTTAGAAGAAAGTCTTTGATCTCATGAATTTGCTTAGGCTGTAAACAAAAAGGATGAGCAGAGTGGTTTATATAAACAATTAGCACCAGGAATAATTGTCAAATCCAGCTACATCTCAGCCTTCACATATTCAATAAAACTGTAATAGATCTGGTAACCATAACAGATGGATTCTGACAAGAAGCAATTTTCAAATCTATACATACACCTATGCTAGTAGAAACCCAATAAAAATTACTCACTTTAAGCACTCGCAACCTTATCAAGCCTAAAACACTTGTTAAAGCATAACTTATTGGGGTATGAAATTGCAAGTTGCTCATTTGATTTGCTCTGCAAAGTGAGTTTCTAACCCTTTTTCCATCTGAAAGTGGGTTTAAATAAACTGGAATCAGGAGATGGGTTTTTTTAAATCATGTTTCTAAACCCATTTTAATCCTTTATTTCTTTAAACTCAGAATCCAATTAGCCCTAGAGGTTAAGCCAAGGAAAAAGAAATAGAGATTCATTAATCAACAATCATCTTTATCAGGAAATTTCAAATTAGCTATAAAAATGCAGTATGTTGAATATCCTATGTAGATCATAACAGAACTACTTTGAATAACAAATAAATTCAGCTCAAAACCACATTGAAAAATTTCATGGAAATTCTAATTCAGCCACATGCATCTTTTATTAATGGCTTAGAATACAATTTTTTAAAAAAACATAATTTTCTTTACTCACCATAGAGACCTTATTTTCTGAGCAGATGTTTTTGATTGTTTTTCTGCTTTTGATTTTGAACGATGTGAACTCTTTCCGCGCCAAATATCCCCACGGGACAGAGAATAAAAGAGCAGTAAAATTGTGGACTTAAAAATTCATAAAAATATTATGGAGTTGAACTTTATGCATGGCTTATTAATATTAAGATTAAAACCTAATATATAAATGAATATAGCTTCAAAATCCAGCAGCAACCAATTTATTTGTTAAATCCCAATTTTCCCGTGTTGCCGAGAAATGTTTGCTCAGAAGATCATTTTCCGTCCCAAAACGTCAATCTAGTAACTAATTTTTTCCTCACAAAATAGTTAGCAACAGTGGAAGGCTAAACAAAGCAGTCAACGAATTGAGACTTACAGATTTAGTCCAGAGCAACTGCATCTCATCCGAAAATCAACAAGCCAAAATACAAACGAAAGAGATCCAAATATCTGATCCACTTTCAAGATTGAGATACAAATGGCAGGCCATAGTTACAAGATTAATTGATAACATCAGAGAGGGAGGGAGAGATTACCATTTTCGTTGATCAGGGCTGTTGCGCTGCTTGCTCTGCCTGAGGTGGCTGTTGGCCCGTTGGAAGAGAGTGGGAAGAGCGGCTAGGTTTATATAGCGGAAGAACTCAGGCCCAAACCTAGAATATTATCTACAGATTGCCCATTTTGCCCTGACTGTAGTTGTTGTTATTAGTCAGTCCCCTGTTCGGTATTGTCATTTCAGAATAAGTTGTAAATAAACGGAAAGTAGATTTCCTGTGATTTCTGCCTCAAGTATGCTATTAATTCATATTTGTTACGTTACTTTCCTCATATTTAAAAAAAAAAAAAAAAAAATTAACAATCTTCGTCCGTTCACGTCCCTCTTGGAAGTAGGGATATTCACGATTTTTTTAAATGGGACTTATTCGAGTCAAATTATATTAAATCAGGTCAAAATTTTAGAATTTTAAAAAATTATAAATTTTGTTATTATATGATTCTTATCTAATATTTTAGTATAAATTTAGTTTTATAAATTATAAATTGATAAGAAAATCATTTCAAACTGTTAGTTTTATATAAAAATTTATTAAATTATTTATATTATATATAAAATTACTAAATCTTTAAATATTAGAAACAAAAAAATTAAAAAAATTAGAGGTTTATATTAAAAAGTGCAAATATTAAAGATAACGTGTAAAAAAAAGTATTTATTGCTACCTCTTTATATGTTTGAAATTCATGTACATGTATTTAACACCTCTTGTAATATTTTCATATTGATATTAAAATGGAATGAAATCGAAAAATTAATTTTGATATTAAAAAGTATAATTTTAATTTTAATACCAAAAAAATTTAAAAAATAATATTGTATAAATTTTATTAAAAAAAACTACAGAAAGCCAAACCGTGTTCGCCCGTCCTTGTAAGTGCCCAAAAGAGGCAAAGCACCTTCCCTCTATCGATTTGATTCTTTGCTCCATCTTCTTTACCATGATCTCGGTATGCCGTATCATATGAATACGTTCCAAGTATCGTGTATAATAATATTACTTCACTGTTGACTTTTTCCAGGAATAAGAGAATCAAATTTTGCTCTAACCCACAAATCAACCAAGTATACTTGTATTCTTCTCTAATACCCATATTGGTTCATCTCTTAAGAATATGAATTGATGAGAATGAATGGAGTTGCATGTGGTGTTAGTCTTTCCCTCTAAATCTTCCAATAATTTGTCCCTCACTGTTCCAGCTTACCTCCATTTTCTGATAGATCTTTTCTTATGACGTGGAATGATGTTTTCTTTTCAAGATTTTTAAATAAAAATGGCTGCCTCATTTGATGACTCATTTGCATTTTGCACCCCCAAAATAGGGGATTTTTGCAATTTGCACCCCATAATTTTAAATTTGATACTTTGCACCCCAAAATTTTAAATTTGGCACTTTGCACCCTAAAATTTTAAATTTAGATTCAAAACCTCCCAAAATTACAAAAATTGCACCATATTTTTAATTTCTTATTAAAACTGAGGATAAATTTAGAATTTCATGTAAATAAAAAGTAAAAAGATCATAAATGATTTAAACCTTTCATTTATTTTTGTTATTTCTATTCTATTTAATAAGTTTTCACTCAATTTATACACATATTAACAGCATGTAAAAGATTAAAAAATTTAGTACTATTTAAAATTTTAAAAATTTAAAATTAAAAATAAAGTTTTGATAAAAAATATAAAAAAATTTGAAATGGCTATTTTATTTCTTAATTTTTCTAGATATTTTATACAAAAATAATTATTTAAAGTAGTTATTGTAATTATTAATTTGTCTAGTATTTTATATATAAATAATTATTAGTTATTAATTTGTAGCCACTTCAAATATTTTTTATATTTTTTTATCAAAACTTTATTTTTAGTTTTAAAATTTTAAAATTTTAAACAGTACCAAATTTTTTAATTTTTTACATGTCGTTAATATGTATATAAATTTAGTGGAAGTTTATTAAATAGAGTGAAACTAACAAAAAAAATGAAGGGTTTGTGTCATTTATGATTTTTTTACTCTTCATTTACATGAAATTTTAAATTTACCTTTAATTTTAATGAATACTTAAAGATAGGGTGCATTTTTGTAATTTTGAAAAATTTTGGGGTGCAAAGTGCCAAATTTAAAATTTTGGGATGCAAAGTGTTAAAAACTATTATTTTTGGGGTGCAAAGTGCCAAATTTAGAATTATGGGGTACAAAGTACCAAAATCCTCTAATTTGGGGGTGCAAAATGCAAATGAGTCTCATTTGATCTTATATATGTTATTTGGTTTTTTACTGGGACGATTTGGAAATGGCTTTAGTGGCTGGCTTATGGATTTAAATGGCTTAAGAACACAAAAGATGGTTTTCTCTTCACTTGGATTTTAGATGACAAAGGGACGAGTGATGGGGCATTTATGCTACTAATGTTTTAAAACTCAAACTACTAATCAAATTAATAAGATCGTCGGATTATGATTCAACTAATTTAGTTATTCTGACCATCACTTAAATTGGCAGATAATAAAAAATATTTAAAAAATAAATTAAATTAATAAATATATTATTCAATTATAAAATGACACTATTCTCTATTTCATGATCATTATAACATAATTTAGATTAAACAAATTATAAATACAAGTTTTAATCAAAATTAATGCATTCTTTATCTCAAATTAGTCAAAATCAATTTTAACAAATCAGTCAAAAATTTACTAATTTTATTAATTTTAATTAGTTTTGACTAGTTTTAATTTGTCGGATTTTAATTTAGGTTAGCGGTTTTATCCTGACTATTTTGTAGGCCGGATTGGACCAGCGTATTTGGCATGACTTAAAAACATTGGAGATGGGTGGGTATTGGGCTCCAAGTTTGGTTGGTTAGAATTAATTTGAAGGCACCAAAACTTCAATGTATGGTTAAGTGGACAAATGAGGAAATTACCTAAGTTAGCTTCAAAAAGATCCCAAAATCATATAAAAATTAGGATGTATTAACGTTTATATTTATTTATTTATTTAGCAATAATTTTTCTTGTTAGTATCATCCCAAGGGCAGCCATATGCTTAATTTTCAAATATTTTTTTAAATAAAAATTGTGTAATACTTTAAAAATTTTTTTGGGTATTATTAGAAGTCTATAAAGAAAAAGGGGCCCAAATGAAAGAAACAGGAAGTATAGGGGTCAGATTATAATTATAAGGGGATTTAATTGAAACAATTAAAACTAGTAGGGTCTGAATAGAATTAATTAGAACGCTAGGGGATCAAATCAGAAGAAATCAGAAGACTGGGGGCTAAATCGAAAAATCTGTGAAAAAAATATTCCATTCGTGCCCAATTCTGCACATCCATGACCTCCAATGCAATTCGAACAGATCTTACAGGAATTCGCAATTAAAATCCAAATGGGCAAAGGATCTTACTAATATAAGTGGTGTAATGACCCAAATTGAGAATTTATTTTGGATTAGGGGTATAATTGTAAGTATTAAAAGTTTCGAGGGCTAAATTAAAAATTTAGGGGCCTTAATTGCACAAATTTTACTTTTGGGGGTCTGATTTGGGAAGACAGAAAATATTTGGGCCTAACTGAAACCTTCAAGGGTTAAATTGATGGAACTAAAGGGTTCAGGGACTCAATTAACAATCTAGAAGGGCTTGATTAAATGAAATAAAAGTTTCGGGGGCTGGATTTTGACAGAATAAGCAACTTTTGGATCCGCTGAGCATTGGATCCTTGCTTTACAAAATCACCATCAATGGGCACGATTTTAGCTGGATTTTTATGTTTTAGTGTGCGAAACCCTAAGGCACACAAGACCCCGCATCCAATTGCATCAATCGAGTGAGTTAGAGAGAGAATCAAGCACTTTTTCTGGCTGACTGGTTCGTCCATGGCCGAACGGGATTTTCTGGAGATTTCTGGGTTTTGATCGAGTTTTAATCTGATTAAATAGCTTAGGGAGGACCGCCGATTAGAGCTCTACCAATTTTGGTGTTTGATCGATTGAGGTAAGTGGATTTTTTTGTTCTTTTTCCGGTTTTTCCAAGTTCGGGAGTCCAGGTCATTACATACCCGAATGTTGCAAACTGGGTTTGAATACCCAGGTCATCAAGTGAAGGAGAAAGGACCCGAAAAGGGTTCAAGTCCTACCTGGGGCTAGGCCAGCTTGGTTGGGCAAGGTTTAGCTCGGCTGGGTCATGGGTTTGCGAGCATGGGCCACGGGTTAGCCCAAAAAAAAGGGGGAAGTTGACAGAACCAGCCAATGAGTTTGACTGGCCAATTTAGTGGTCAAACCAATTCGGATTTGGAAAGTTGAATCGGTTTTAGATTTAGAAGGAAAAGATCTATTGGAGCAAGTGGGTCTAGG